AATTTGATGAGTGTTATTATCACTTGAGCTGCGGTGGCTCAAGTGGTTAAGTTGCTGAACTGCAGGCTGTGGAAGTTCAGCAGTTTGAGACCCGGGTGCCGCATGACGGAGTGAGCTCCTGTCTCTAGTTCCAGCTCCTGCCAACCTAGCAGTTCGAAAGCAAGAAATTGCAAGTAGATAAATAGGTACCACTTTGGTGGGAAGGTAATGGCGTTCCGTGCGCCTTGGTGTTTAGTCATGCTGGCCATATGACCACGGAAACGTCTTTGGACAGCGCTGGCTCTTCGGCTTTGAAACGGAGATGAGCACCGCAACCCTAGAGTTGGATTCGACTGGCTTTCGAGCAAGGGAACCTTTACCCTTTATTACTGGCAAAAACACTGCTGAGATCATTTAATGGTGAACTTTTAAGAGTGAACCAAGGGCCTGGTAGGGAGTGCGGTCTGCCCTGGGTGCAGCTTGAGGAAGGCCCTTTTTTGCCATTATTATTCTTCATTTTACTTAATTATTACTACTGTAAGTAATTTTGTAGTACTGAGGAGGGGCCCTGACGAATGCTCCCTCTAAGCTGTGGAGTCTTGTGAGCAAAAATTCTACTTTGTGAGCTACTGGCATTACTTGGCTACCGCATACATTAGTTTGTTCTGGAGCCATCCTTCTTGAGCTAAGACAGAAATCTGTGAGCTGGAGGATAAAAAATTGTGAGCTAGCTCACACTAACTCAGCTTAGAGGGAACACTGATGACCTGGATAGCCCCAGCCTAGCCTGATCTCGTCAGGTCTCCGAAGCGAAGCAGGGCCGACATGGAGGCAGGCAACGGCAAACCACCTCAGAATGTCTCTTGCCTTGAACCCCTACTGGGTCACCATAAGTCAGCTGTGACTTGATGGCAAAAAATAAAATAAATAGAGGAGGGGGATGTTAAAAAACTACCTGCCCTGGAAGCCAAATATGCTAGGTATGCCACTGCTTTTACTATGTTGTGAAGGAGCTGGTGTTAAGTCCTTATCTCCTAAAGATGTGTTGTTGTTGTTCAGTCACACAGTCGAGTTCGACTCTTCGCGACCCCCATGGACCACATCATGCCAGGCCCTCCTGTCTTCTGTCATGCTCCGGAGTTTGCTTAACTTCATGTTTGTTGCATCGATAACACTGTCTAACCATCTCATCCTTTGCCATCCCCTTCTTTTACCTTCAATCTTTCCCAAAATCCTAATGATGTAAGGACCCTGAATTGTAAATTAAGCTATATGGTGTTCCACATAAAATAATAGAAGAGGTCCCTGCTGATTTCATTTTCAGTTCTTTTTTGAAAAACAATTTGGTTTCTTTAAATTAGTAATTTCAGCTCTTTTTTTTAGTTCCGTTCTTACTTCTACATGTTTCAGTGGGAAAACACATTTTCTGTCTACAGTACTCCCTCCTCCAACCAGCTGGGATAAAATTTTCAGGACTGACCTTTTCATCTAATAGGGTTGCCAACTCTGGCCTGGGAAATTACAGAAAATTTGGGGGTGGAGCATGAGGAGGAACCTCAGTGGGTATGATGCTGTAGTGTTTGCCCTACAAAATGGCCCTCTACTCCAGGGGAACTGATCTCTGTAGTCAGGAGATAAGTTGTAATTTCAGGCGATCTCCAGACCCCCCCCCCCCCGAGGCTGGCTTTTCTAGGTTCTCTGACAAATTTCAAGTAGATAGGAGAAAGGGTCGCCATTTTATAGGTAATTAAATTTTTGTTTACAGGTACAAAGAGGCATTTGGGAAGCCAAGAAAGCACACAGTAGGCACAAATAGTAAATAATAAAAAATGAGGGGCTCTTCACAGATTTACATGAGTCCACCAGTCTGGGACTCTGAGATGTCCAGTGTCCACAGAACGACTGACACAGCCGCTGCAGTTCACTTTGTGGGGGGGTCAGGGGTGCATGGAGGTGGTCCACAACATCACCTGTGAATGTCAGGGAAAAGGGTCCTGGGTTGAGAGGACAGCCCATGTCTCCACCTCTTCCTATCTGCTGTGGTGCCACCAACTGCCCCCACAGTCACCTTACTTCTCCCCACTGCTGCTGCAGCCTGGCCGCTGTGGCCGGTTTCGCCCCCTCCCCCAGCAGGTGTTCCAGCCCACTCCCCACACACCAGTCCCCTTTGTGCACAGGGCCAGTTGTGGAGGAGTCTGAGGCCCCTGTAGCCTCCCCTGACTGGTGGGGTCAGGTGTGGGAGACAGCAATGCCAGCTTCCTACACTTCTTCCTCACCCAAGGAGGTGCTGGCAGACAGATCCATGACAAGAGATGGGGTACAGAAGAGAGAGAGGTCAGCCACAGAGTGTGGACTTTGCTCTCCCTGCTGGTCGGTGGCACAAAATGCTCTCCCAGTGGTGCTGTGGCCTCTCTGTGCTTTTCCTGCCACCAAGGTACCTTGGCACTTGCTCTGAGTCTGCATGGCAGGGAGCTGACAGAAAGTGTCCCATGCCGCATGCCCTACCTCGTGAGTTCTGGGGCATCCTGACAGGGAATTTTGTAGGGCAGGGAGGTCTGTGATTGGGTAATGGGAAGGGAGGTGATTGGTCTTGCCCTTAGCATCCTGAGCCGCTTGGGACCTCATGGGTGTGGCCATGGCAGTAGAGAGGCACTTTCCCCCCCATTTCATGGGTGCCTATTTTCCTTGGTGCAACTTTGGACCTCTGTCAGGGGGTGTTCCCAGGCTGAAAGGCATTAAAGAGCCAACTAACTCCAGCCACACCCTGTAATCTGCCCACACTGATGCTGGGGCAGAGGCCTGTGCCTGAGTTGCACTGGCACGCAGCCACTGCAGAACTGTGCCAGAGTGGTGCAGTGGCACTGGAATCCTCAGCTGTCATAACTGCCTCTTATGCTGGCATATTTTTGAGATATGCCAGTGTGAGGACCAGTTGGCTCCCTAATCCCACTTGCTCCCCCTTTAGGACTGTGCTGTAAGCAGGGCGCTTTTTTTTAGAAAAAGCTCAGCAGGAACTCATTAGCATAATAGGCCACACCCAACAGCAGAAACTCATTAGCATAGTAGATCACACCCTGGCAGTGCAGCTCATTAGCATATTAGGCCACACCCCGTGCCTTCACTTGGCTTGCCCGGACAGGCTGGGGAAGACATGGGGAGGCATTTAAATGCCTCCCGTATCCTTTCATGGTCCCCCTGGCCCGCCCACCTCGGAGTCGCCGGGTGTGTGTGTCGCTCTCCAGGCCTTCCCTCTGTAGCCACGCACGCAGAGGTCTTGGCTGTAGTGGGCGTGGCCAACTCTGAAGCCAGCCAGAACTCCATTCCTGCGCGTTCCTGCCCAAAAATAGCCCTGGCTGTAAGGCCTATGTACTTATTACGCTTACATGCTTTAAACAAAAATGCTTTTAATTGAAGAGGCAAGTTCCAATACTATTAGTACAAAAACAAAATGTACATATTCCTTTGATTTTAGGAGGAATCCTCCCTGCTATGTTTTTAATATTTCGTGAATAGTGTACATATAGTGGAATGATCTTCAGTCCTGGTATTTGAATAGGTCTCTTTGGATTGAAGTACAGAAACATAACTGCAAGTGCAAACAACAAAGATCAACAACTTCACTGTGGCATAGGCTTTTATGAGCCAGAAGTATACTTTGTCACATGCATGATGATGTGTGTCATACTGAAAAGAAATCTATATCCAGAGCTACAGACATCTGAATGGGGAAAGGTGTTGCAAAGAGATGGCAGAAGGCCCACTTGACCAGGACAAGGAGTGTGCAGAATTACTTTGTAGAGCACAGATGAAAACAAGATGGCGTCAGAAGACTCCAGAGAGGGTATAGACCACTCCCAGTTGCTGATAAATTAAGTAGGATGAATCTGAAAAGTATACATAAACCCGTTCAGTATGCTGTAGCTCACAAGAGGTTTTTGTAAAGTAAAATCAGTAGTACTTCAAGGCTGCGGTCACACACACTAAATAATCCACTTTCAATGCACTTTCCAGCTGGATTTTTACTGTGTGAACTGGCAAAATCCAATTCAAAAGTGCATTGAAAGTGGATTATTTAGTGTGTGTGACTGCAGCCCAAGATAGTTTTTTGTTTTGGATGCAGCAAACTTGAAGTTTCAAGTATACAGTTAAAGGCATCCAGTGAAGTGGTTTATGACAGAAAAAAGTACTTGCTCACTCAACACTGTTCTATATGACATTAGTTACCACAAGGATGCTTTTAAAAAAAGATTAAACAAAGTAACAAGAAATAGGTTTATCAATGGATTCGGACCATTATAGCTACATTATAGCTATAGCTATACCTGGATGGCCAAGGCAAGCCAGATCTGTATACAGAGGTTGGGCCAGCCCTGGAGAGTACTTGAATGGGAGACCACTAAGGAAGTCCAGGCTGGCAACAACAAGTATATATGGGCCAGCAACAGTAGATTTCTGAACGTCTAAGGCTGGTTACACACAACAGGGATGGACATCTCATTCATGCCTTCCTTGTTGAGTGCCCAGATGCCTTCCTCTGATCCTGGTTGACTGAATTTGATAGATCCTGATGTGACCCAGAATAAAGTTACCTGACATAATATAAGGATTTTTTCCAATATTTTCCTACCTCGTTTCTCAGCATATGTCAGTCTATATACAAGAGTCAAGCAGAGAAAAGGTAGGCTTTTAAACAGAGTGTAAGTGTGGGGTAACTAATTGCAATCTTGGGAAACTGCACTCTTGGGAAAGGGCGGGAAACTTTGGTTGCTGAAGGCTGCCGAGTGCCGATGAGAAGAGCAAAGATGAGTTGGTCTGTTGGGATTTTTGATGAATTTAGGATGCGGGGAGGGAAGAGAGGCAGAAGCCCGTCCTCTAATTGTGATAGGCTGGTTTTGCTTCAAACTTTCTGTTGATTGGCTGGCTCCCCGATCTCCCCCTCCTCTCCTTTCCACCACAGCCCTAGAGGGGTTTAAAACTTCGAGGTGTTGTATTTGCTGGCTCCCTCGCTGCACCGTCCGGGAGCTGCCTAGAAAAGGAAGTTTCTTCAGGGTGCAAGAAGAAGGCGGGATGACCAGCCTGAGGAGCCTGAGGCTATGGGCGCTGCTGGCGCTGGCTTTTCCGGGGGACTGCATACCTCACCGGGGGCTCCTCTTCCCCTTCGGCTTGGAGCGAGGCGACGCTGCACTGGAGTCCGGGGACGACGTGAGCTCCCCGCCTCTGGAGCTGGACACCCCGCTGCGCTTCTACGGAGCCAGTGTGAACTCCCTCTATGTAAGTGCGCTCGCGGCGGTAGAAGGGGCGGCTGGGCGAGCGGCTGGGCTGGGCTGGGCGAGGCCAGGCTGAGAAAAGAAGCTCGGGAGAGACGGGGGTTTTGTGGGGGGGGGGATAGCGAGTGGCCTGGGGCCGTCTCCCGCCGTTCAGGGTTGAAGGCAGAAAAGGGGCGCGACTCGGGGTGGCGACTGTCAGTGCTCTCGAGAATCCGTCTTGCTGCAACGAGCAACGAGAAGGGCGGGCTGTGTGCGGGAGGTTGCTTAATTCCCTTCGAGCGAGGAGCCCCGTCCCCTCATACCAGCTGTGGGGCGGGGGCCGACTGTGGTCCCTCACCGGTGAAGGGAAGGGCCTTCTGCACATGCTCGGCGGCCTCGAAACATGGGACTGGAAATGCGCGCGCTGTCAAGGCTGGAAACGGATTTTGGGGATAAGACCCAGACAAGCCTTTCTACGTCGTTGAAGACAGTTGTGTCTATAGCAGGATGTTCTAAATTAAGCACTACCCCTTACATTGTGTGGAGCTTGGATAGTCTCTCCTTGAACGTTGTGGTAAACCAAGAGTCAGCTCATAAATAGGGGGGCACCTTCTGACACGGGGCACTGAGTAGGGTGTCAAGAAGCCCTGCAAGCAGCGGCGGGTCGGAGGGAGGGGGGGGGGTGTTGGGTGGGAAGGGAGAGACTGCCCAGAACGTTTTGGCAAGTAGAATAGGTTTTTGCGAGTTCCTAAACAAAATAGAAAGCAGATGGGTGTTTGCCTTTCTAGGACTTGCTGTCCCAACTGGAAAAGGCATCGTGACTGGGTAGTTTACTCCATGGCTCTATAAGGCATGCGAGAGGATGTCTGAGTATAAAAGGATGTCTGAATAGAAACGGTCAGATCTTGTGCTGGTCTAAATAAATGGCGCTCCTTTTCTGGCACTAAACGACCCCAGGACTTTATCTGTTTTTCATGTGTGAGTGGATGAACTCTGGATTTGTTTATTTGTTTACTCCAGACCTTACTGTAGGAGTGGTGGGAAACAGGATTTTGAAACATTGCTATTCAACTAATTCTAGGAAATGCACTCTTTTGCAGTAATGGGAGTTTAAAAGCAAAAGATAACTGGATAGTGGTGCTGTATTTCTGTACAATGTTGTCTTGTTAAGCTGGTCAAATGTTGTAAGTCTGTTAAATAGTATTTATTACTGGCACACTACATCAGGTACATTAGAGTTGGGTGTAAAACCATCCTGTACTATACTATGCACAAGACAATATGAATACAATGTTAAGTTATTGTTATTTATATTTACAGTTCAGCAGAGGAATAGACCAAAAGAGTACTGCAGTAGATGGCTAGTCTTAAAAGTACAGCTTATGATATATTATGTGTAGTGGCTAGACTTTCAGGCTAGGTTCTGGGAGACCCAAGTTCAAATCCTCACTCTGCCATGAAAGTTTGCAGGGTGAGCTTGAGCAACTCACTCTCTCTCTCAGCCTGACCTACCTCACAGGGTTGTTGGAAGAATAAAGTGGTGGAGGAAAGAATAATGTGATCCACTTAAGGTTCCCAGTAGGGAGAAAAGCAAGGTATAAATATCTTAATAAATTAATCTCAGCTGTTTTGTTAGCTGACATTTTCTAAATAACCAGAATTATTCTTCTGAAAGAATCCATATAATGTAGAATCCAATGTATAGTCTGTTACTGCTTGGGTCAACTCTGTTGTTATATTATTACATTACATTATTTTGAAAGCTCTAAGTTGGGTCCCGTCAAATTTAATAGCATAGATTTCAAAAATAAAGAACAAAGTTGATAAAAGCAGAGTATAAGGCTCAGTTTAGGCAAGCTTCCCTGTGCGACTTTGCATGTATGAAGTGTTTCATTTAAACTGCTGATTTCTGATATGCAAGCAGCTTGCTTTGCTACATGGTTTAAAGAATACCCCGGGGTGTGTCTGGCAGGGAAGCTTTCTGCCTTGGCATCCCCACATTTAAATCAGGCGTACCGGTAATTGTCAGCTGCAATATTGGACCAAGCTTGTGTCATGAAAACACCAAAATGGGCCAAAGTGGTCTCTAACTAGAACCTCTAAAAACTTGCTTAGTTTAAGTAAAAGTATTTCCCAGATCTACAATTGAAGGGCCTTTTAACCGGAGATGTCAAGGATTGAATCTGAGTGCAAAGCATGTGTTCTGCTGTTTTAATGTTAACCTTCCCTCCCCTCCCCTATCTCTGTACTGTGTCCCACTCCCCAGTATTAATTGTACCCAGCCTTCTCTTATGAATGTGTTAATAATGTCCCTGTATTGTATGGTTTAATCGTTGAGTATTTTCAGTTGTTTAAAAACTTTGGTTTCTTCTTCCAAACCCTAGAACTGTTGAGCCGCTTTGTTTTCCTACTTTCTGATTCCCGTTCTGCCTTTCACAAATTCCATTAGCTAATTGAGGCAGAACTATGTATAAAGTGTGTGAGGCACGTTTTCTTGTATCCCATAAATGTACTTAGTTATCTGTGTAATTCAGAAGGACTGATTCCTATAAATATATCATGGTTATGTCCTGTCAGATTAAATGGAGTTATACCCTAAAAGGAAAGGATGAATTCTGTCTCCAGACAAACTCAAAAGTCTAATTTTTTCCCCTTCTGCTCTTCATATAAATATCTCTCTGTAATAATAAGCAGTCTTACAGAAATGTGGATATCTTTCTTTAGACTGCTATTTAATTACATTTTCATTAAAGGTCATGTTTACACATAGCTTTCCAAAGGATGTACAGATATTTTGACAAACTTTAAATACATTTCTTTACTGGGATTAGTAACCAGTCAGTAGGTCATTCCTACCCATAGAAGTCAGTGGAAAAATTCTCATTATTAATGAATCTGGATAACACCTTAAACTGCTACATTAAAATAACTCTGGTGATTTCCATATGGGTACGGGCTTGTGTGGTTTCCGCACTGCTGCGGCAGTTGCTGATACACTACAACAGCAATGGGGTTTCCACATGGAAGGATGCCCAGCAATTCCCCTGCTTCAGTCCTTTGGCAGCAACCATTCCCTCCTCCCTTAGCCCCCCAGGAATGTTCAGGTTTTTTTTAAAAAATGAACAATTCCCATATTGTTATAGTGTTAGTCTCTGAATTCTCCGCTTTCATTTTTAATACAATAAAGTTTCTAGCCCCTTTTGTTACTGAGAGATACCTTTCCCCTTATTCCTCCACAACAAAAGGGGCTAGAGAGTTACTTTAAAAAATGAAAGCTAGGAATTCAGAGATCTTGATATGCATATGTTATCATATCTCTCCTTATATATAATTGAGTAGTGGGGTGACACTTTCTGAACATTCCACACACCTCTAAATCAGTTAGCTCCATGATGTGTCACTCAGAAGCTGTCCCTATCCACTGGCTGCATTGTCTGAGTCTTGCCCACAGAGGCAGCGCCCACCAAAACTTTCCTCAGAAGATGGTTGCTTCACTCCGGTGAACACAGCTACTGCTTTTGCTTTCCTCACCAGACGATGATTAATTCCCTCAGGGGGCAAAACCTGCCATCTTTAGCCTCCAAGCCACGTTTGCTGAGGCAACAATTCATAGAATGGAAAAAAGCCCCGCCAAGTAAACAGCTGTCAGCATGGTGGAGGCGGGGGGGGGGGACCAGCCCAAGTTATCACAAAAAAACAGTGGATACACACACAAGCAGAGATAGAGGATGGGACCAGACACACAGAAAACAGGAAGCCAAAAACCCGAGGCATGCTGCAAAGCAGAAATACAGACACAGTCACAGACAGATCTATGTAGGCACACACAAACAGGAGGAGTGCAGGAACAACTGGCTGAAGTGGAGAATGTTCAGAAAGTGCCACCCCACTACTTAATTATACATAAGGAGAGATACTGCTAATATGTACTTAACCTGCTTCCAGCCGATGCATTCATTGCACATCAATAAAATTCAAATTCTCACTAATTACTTTGTGCCTATCAATATGAAGAATAAAAAGAAGCCAGTTCTTCAAAACTTCCCTCTTCAGTGCAACATAGCCAGAAGCATTCTTGTATTAGAGACATAATTCACCTGGGGCTAGACGTTGTACATTTGTAGGATGAACTTGCATTTCCTTTGAAAACCCAGGCTCGCCGCTTGGGGGTGCAGTTAGATCTGTAGCAGCTTCTGGATTTATTTATTCATTTTATTTAAAATATTTCTATATCTCCAGGCACAGCTGCGGCCCAAGAAAAGTAATGACATTTTTTAAAAAGACAGAAAATAAGACAATAATATAAAAGCACTAAGCTGGCAGAAATAGTTCTATAGTTCTGTTCTTCACTTACCCTTCTCTGACACTGGTGTTAGTCAATGCCAGGTCTATCAATAATAAGATCAATGTGCTCTGTGATTATTTCACGGAGTTGTGGGTAGACCTGGCCCGTGTGACAGAAACCTGGGTGAGGGATGGTGAAACTGTTGCCTTGAACCAGCTTATCCCACCTGAGTTTTCAGTTTTTCACCAATTTTGGATGTTTGGTGTGTGTGTGGCTTTGCTCATCTGTGAATTTTGTTCCTTCAGGTCACTCCCCGCTCCAACAATCTCCAGCATTGAATGTGTAGGCCTGGCGTGTGATGTCGAGGAGTGTTTGGCTATCTGGCTGGTGCACCAACTGCCTAATGCACCAGCAGATACCCTGTCCAACCTGCTAGATGCTATATCAGGTTGGGCATTGGAATACCCCAGGCTTCTGATCTTGGGTGACTTTAAAGTCCATGCCAATGATGCAGTGTCTTCCCAGGCCAGGGACCTGGGGTTGTCCATGGAGGCACTGGGACTTTCCCAGCTTGTATCGGCTCCCATGAATCAAGTGGGCCACACGCTGGATCTAATTTTTGGGATGGGGATACATGTGGATCAGGTGACTACAGATGTAGTCCCATGGTCTGACCACTTTGCCCTGAAGATCTAGTGGAGCATTCTGCACCTTCCCTGTTTAGGCAGCGAGTGCATTTA